GAAAAATGTATGAAGGATGCACCTACATAGAGTTTATATGTAATTTGTATTTCCGAGAAATGTTTAAAAAAAATTATGGAAATATATTAACTTTTTGATTTGATAAATTTCTATTTTATTCAAATTGGTTATCGGATAAATGTACAAGCGATTATTATTGTGACTTGTCAGCTAAACTGTACAATTACAATATCAAAAAAATTAAAAATGTTCATTAAATTTAATTAAGACAACATTATTTTTCAATATGTAATAAATATAATATCCATATCAAACTGTTAGGTATATTATTATTGTTATTGATACTTATTTGGTATTTATACACGGTATTGTATGGTTAGAAATAAGTTGATCATAACATTAAAGACTGGTTTACATGACAAAATATTTGGTGAACGGCTAACTTTAAAAAGTTGTTTGAAAGATAGTTCAGACGATCAAATATTTTATCAAAATATCTATAACCAAAACTTTGTAGTGATTGGCCAAATATAAAATCTATTTTATTCGTGCAAATTTAAGTTGTATAATTGTATAAAATATGTAAATTATATTTCATAATCATGATACATGATAATAAATTGATAACTATTTGTTATGAATCTAGAAATCGAATATTTGACAAAACTTGACAGTGTTTTAGAATTATAATAATATAATACTCTAAGCGTTGTATTAATTAATTTATTTATTCAATTACAGCTGTTTGATCTTTGTTAAGTTTTAAAATAATTCTTCTATCTTTCCAATCAATTATTTTATCTTTAAACGTTGTAAATAAACACTTCCAATTTACTTTATTGAACCCTTTCTCTAGATCTATGAAAGTGACATAAGTATTTCTGTTTACATCTATTATTCTATCAAGAATTTGACGTAGTGTTAAAATCGCTTCTCTTATTCCTCTTTCATTTCTGAATCCAAAATTGATCATCTCCTATTTTATTTTTCAGTCTAAGTTTTATGACATTCAAGATTATTTTTTAAGCATGAGAAAATAGAAATTGTCCTGTAGTCAGAGCAATTTTTTGAATTTCCTTTATAAGGTACGGTAATACATCTATTTGAGAGATAGTCATTAGGGATATTTCCTTTTTCATAACAACCGATAATGATATGAAATAGCTTTTCTATCGTTGAATTGTCTAATTTTTAGATTCTGATAGTGGAGCGAAAAAGCTGATGGTTTTACAAAGATGTTTATTTGTTATTATTTTTATTTTTTATATCTTTGCGCAATTTTTCTACCAGAAATCTCGCTCCGATTTTTAAGTGTAGCATAATTTTCGAAAGTAAATCGGGTTGGGAAGGTTCTTACTTTAAGGAGGTCATTTTCGATTTTCTTAAGTTTTCTCAAGATATTAGAAAAACCGGAAAGATGAAGGAAAAACGTACAACGAGAAAATAGGTACAATATTAAATATTAAATAAATATTATTAAAGAAAATATATAATGCCTATTTAATTTTACCATAATATCACATTGTTGACAAAGCAAAATTATCAACTGAACTCTGCTCAGAATTTGTTTTTTGTTAGCAATGGTTTATCGTTGCTTACAGATATACATTAAATTTCCATCTGTATTCTACCTTTTCAAATTCCTGCCTACAACAATGGCTGCACTTACGTGGGAAGTATGACCGTCTTTTTTAATATTTCTACTGGTATTTTATCTTTCCCCATTGCTTTCTTATCGCTTAAATATCTTAAGGTTTTATATTAGGGGTGGTTACTAACCTTAATTTTGGGAGCCGCAAATGTATAAAGCTTATTCGAGGCGACCCACATTGTAAAACGATGGTTATAAAATGAAGACACATTTTTCATTTTAAATCTGACTAATTAATTAGTTTTATTTAAAAATAAATAATATAATAAATAGATTAATAAAATAATCTAATATAAATTAGAATTAATAAGAATACTTAATTTGTATTTTGTTTTTAACATTTAATTTAATACCACATTGTTATCTTTTTATTTTTATTGTCATCTTTATCTGTATTTAAATACGCTTTTTGAAATCTAGCTGATAATTTGTAAGCGCAGTTCGCACAAGTTCACCTAAATGTTCATCAGTTAGTTCAGATCGATATTTATATTTAATGAATTTAAGCGTTGAGTACGATACACACAAAAGTGGTCCCAAATATTTAAATAAGTCTAATAGCACACTTTTTTGTTAGTGGGTATTTTTCTTTTGAAATATTTTTCCAAAATTCTATGATAGAAATGTCACTTCGTTTGAGTCCATTTATTCCTTTGTCCTCTTATAGTTCTAGTAGATCCAACTCTATAGTTTCTGTATCCTTTGTTATTGATTATGAAACAGAACAGTCATCACTCACAACATCAACAGAAAAAGGATTTTCCAGGAATGAAACTGAAGATTTAAGTGATCTCAAATCATGAAATCTGTGATTGATTTCTTCAGCAAGGCCTGATATCTTACAAAAGTATTCTTCAGTTTCCCCTTGAATATCGGGAAGACTTTCACTAATTTTCTTCAAACATTTGTGAACAAAAGTTTTTAGCCGGAGGTCTTTCGTAAAAAGCTTTAACTTGTTATGAAAGCTAAATACAGTCTGGGCCAAATCAGAAACAATTTTGACGGATTGACGACCTGGGAAGCCTTATCACTCTCCCTGCCGGATCTTATAATCCGAAGTTCATGATCAGTACGGTTGTTATATAAGAGACATATCATTGGCTATTTGGATAAGGAAACTCTGAAACTCTTCAGTAATTTCTCTCTTACTTGCTGCATCGCAATTCATGGGCTAATATTTGACATATTTCCAAGCTGCCTCTATCATGATGCCTAATCTAATTTCTTGAGTTTCAGCACGGACTTAATCATTACCAGGTTGCGGTCACTGTCAATATCGGCGCCTGGGTAGGATTTACTAGATTTGACCCGATTAATATATCTATTCTTTACCAGGATATAGTCTAATTAGTATCTATTAATATTTCCCAGCATTTTGTATGTACAGCATCTTATATAATTTTCGAATAATGTAATAGTTATAACTAGATTATGATGTCTGCAGAATTCGACAAGACGATCACTTCTTTCATTCCGCGTCCTCAGTCCATACCTTCCAACTTCTTTACCATCTGCACCTTAACCCACAGAAGCGTTCCAGTCATCCATGCTAATTATATTTTCCCGTTTTTTTTTCGGTTTTTCACATTTGTTGAGAAAACTCCGAGAAAATCAAAAAATAACCTTTTTAAAACACCCCCCTAGTAAAATTTCCTTTCAAAAAATGTCCTACTATTGTAAATCGGAGCAAAATTGCTGGTAAAAAAGTTGTTCACAGATAAAAAAAAAAATAACTAAATACATCATTGTAAAACTATAAGCTTGAATCTACTGTTGTAGGTGAATAGTTGGGAAGGTAGAAGGGAAATTTAATATATACGTAAAGATTAACCATTGCTAACGAAAAACGATTCTGATATCACATTTGACACCAAAATGTATTAAAAGTAATTTTACGTCTATCTACGGAATTTTTAATATAGGTTCTCATTTAAAAAAAACGAAGTTAGTACCGCACAAGATACTCCTTAAATGTTGTAAAAAAACTAAATATTTAAAAATATGGGTTTTAACTACACTTCAAAATCAAAATTCCAAAAATCAGAATTTGAATATGTATATGCAAAACGTAACCAAAAATGTGGGGTGACCTTCCTTGTAGTGAATCATTCTGTATATTAGGTGTCGCGGCTGCCACACCCATTTTAAAGGATGAATACACCGGGTGTATTACACCCCCTATCATTGATAGTTTAGTATAAAACATTGTACATTTTCACAAGTAGTAGTAGACATAATATTACAAAATATAACGTGAACTAGTCTATTCTCAGACTGCCGTAGCAGTACTGTGTGATTGCGTATTAATAAAAGTAGGCAGCTAGTTAACTATAACTAAAACTATTCAATTAATAGTTTCACGATAAATAACCCATAATACCAATAACCAATTTCTAAATCTACAACAGTGGTTACAGCTAGTTCACGGTGTTGTATAGGCTATACAAAATGAATACATATACATTATATTATTGCTATTATTTAATTATTTTTTGTAATGCCCGGGATTATATATTCTTGTAGTAAAATAATAATGTAATTTTGTATAAATTCAGAAACCGTTCAATTTGACGCATCAGAATTTTTTAACCAAAAATCACAATAAAAGTTAGTTTAAAAAAAAAATGGAAATACTTCGCGAAATCGGTTGACTCCTGTTAATTTAATGTACATCTGTATGTATCGATTAACCATTGCTAACGAAAAACGATTTTGGTGCCACAGTAAAATAATTACATATTTTCTTTAATAATATTTGTTTAATCAGTTGTTGACTTGGGAAAAAAGGAGTAGAAGTATTCTAGCATATTTTAATACCCCTAACATCACCCCATGGGATTTTTCCCCAACCCCCTTTTTCCGGTCCCCCCGAAAACATTCATGTAGAACCATTACAGATATAACAAACAGTATAATATAAATTAAAATACATAAAACAATGTTACGAACTATTAGAGTAGAGCGAGAAGCTTATGGTTTTACAAAGATGTTTTTTTTTTTTTATCTGTGTGCAATTTGTCCGCCAGAAGACTTGCTCAGATTTTTAATTGTAGCAGAAAGGTACTTTAAGAAGGTCAATTTTCGATTTTCTCAAGTTTTCTTGACGGGAAAATGTACGGATTATATCACTCAGATAATATAATTATTTTTTCCTCTGCACAACATCCCAACCAGCAATTTTCCTCCAACTTTTAATGAGAGCGATGTTTCTAAAAAAAATATATCACTAGGGAGGTACTTTAAAGAGATCATTTTTCGATTTTCTCTGCAAATGTGAAAAACCCAGGAAACAATTGGGAATACCTATTTTATTATAATATGATATACATATTGTTGACAAAGCATCACTATCAACTGTACTCCACTCAGAATTGCTTTTTTATAAGAAATGGTTTATCATTGTTTACAAGTATACATTAAATTATCTATATCAGTGGTTGCACTCATCCCCACTATCCTGGGACATCTATTTTAAAATTCGTTTGTATTTTTAATATATTATTAAAATAATTTGTCTTTATTTCATTGTGTAAGTGTAATTCTTCTAAAACTGAATGATTGTAAATGTTATTTTAGGTTTTTATACTTCTATGTCTTTATTGATGTTAATTTTTTTTTTTTTTATGATTCAGTTAAAAATATTTGTAGAGACTTGAAATTTTATACTTGTCACTTGTACTTGGATGTATTACATAATAATCATGCATCTCAAAATATCTACATAATTTTTTACTTAAACAATTTTCGTCGTATTTAAAGTATAAAATTCTACATTAAACTCAGTTTTTTTTACCACGAAGTAGAACTTATACTTAACTTCCTATTCAATTCTCTAGCATATTTCTGTTTGATTTAACAATTTTATCCACAGAATTAAGTTAATTTAGGTTACCTACCGAACAAAAAAATAAAATTGAAAATATAATAATCATTGTTTTTGTAAATTTTCCCGTTCTTCTTACGTTTTTTCCCTTAACCTAACCTAACGAGAACCGGTATCGGTACAAGAACCAGAGAAAAAATCATTTTCGGAACAGGATAAAAATATCGCGTTACTCATTCCTAGCTGTTGATTTGTATACAATGTAACGAAACTACTGACAAACAAAAAACCAATACGAAAGTGGATTTTACTCAAAAACTGCATTGTAAATAGTCGCTTCAAAAAAAAAATTACCGGTATACGGTAGACACTGCATATCATATAGTATACAGTATACATATAAGTTTATAGGTACTGTTTATACTTAATATTTATATTATATGTACCACATACATTGTATTATTGTAATTTTCTTTTTCTAACCAGGTTTCCCCTGGCGGGAACGACGCAACCCCTTGACGGCAGTGCGCGCGAACATAAAAAGAAAATATATTATTTAATNAGAGCGATGTTTCTAAAAAAAAAATATCACTAGGGAGGTACTTTAAAGAGGTCATTTTTCTATTTTCTCAAGAGATTTCTCAGCCAATGTGAAAAACCCAGGAAACAATTGGGAATATCTATTTTATCATAATATGATAAACATATTGTTGACAAAGCATCACTATCAACTGTACTCCGCTCAGAATTGGTTTTTTTTTTTGAAATCAGAACAAAACTGATTTAGAGTTTCAAAAAGAAAACCCGAGCTGTGAATTTTTCCTTCATAATTTCAAAACAAAGTTCATCCACCTGATTTTTTTTTTTATATTCTTAATGTATACGTAAAACCACACATTTTGAAAATAAAAACAAGATATCGTGTGGGCGGTAAACTAGATTTATGCCTCGGTTTATTTCAATCCCAATTAGATTTAGTTTAATATAATAATCATTAAAAAATCTTGTTTACAGCTTTGGAGTGAAGAGGCTGTCCACTTAGGATTACCAGAAAATTTTGTCAACCTCAGAAGGCAAAAACTACGGAAACAAGACAGAATTCAACCGTTAACAGAAGCGGTACCATCGCCAGACTCTATTCCATTAACATCATCAGGTGAATATTTAGAAAAATGGTTGATAAATGGATTCAGTTAATAGCATTTTGATAGGTTTTGTAGGATGGCGTTCGTCACATGGTATTTGCAATTTGGAAATGTTCGGTAGATTTTTCGCCTACAATAAACTTGACACTCGAATGTTGAAACCAGACAATGAGCCGGATCAAAAACATCAGAAATTCATAATTTTAGGGTAACATTAGATATAAACACTTAAAAAAAACAATAGTTATAGTTACAATATATTACATATTACATATTTTTGCTGGTAAAGTATATAAAACATATATATATTTAAACCCCCCTAAGTAACTGATAATGCTTATGGGTGTTTCAGTGGCGACGTGAACAGGATTAAATTAAAGCTGTTACGAAAAAAAGAGTAGGTGGGTGTTGAATGTTGATGTTTATGGTTAAGTAGGTACAAGATATTTATTTAAATTAATTAAATTATACTTTACTTTTAAATTCTGAGTGGAGCGAAGAAGCTTATAGTTTTACAGATGTTTTTTTTGTTATCTGTGCGCAATTTTTCTACCAACAATTTCGCTCAAACTTTTAATGATATCAATGTTTTTAAAAGAAAAATTTTTACTAAGGAGGTACTTCAGAGAGGTCATTTTTTAATTTTCTGAAGTTTTTCCAGCAAATATGAAAAACCAAGAAAATCGTAATTTAGCTGAGGAATTTGGTGCACCAACAAACAAATATTATAAAAGAAAATATATAAAGCCTATTTAATTATTTGATCATAATCTGACTTACATATTGTTGACAAAACATCAATATCTACTGTACTCCGCTCAGAATTGTTTTTTATAAGCAATGGTTTATCGTTGCTTACAGGTATATATAAAATTATCTATAACAGTGGCAGCACCCGTCCCCATTATCCTTAGATGTCTTTTTTATATTTTGTGTTGATATAAAAAGGAGGGTGGGTAAGTGAGTGTTGAACAATTTGACTGTCACTGAAATAATAAGTTCACACCACTACTGGTTGTGACACTGGGCGACTGGTCAAAATGTTTCCAGCAAAAAATATCATTAATATAAATATCCCACAGGAAATAATAAATAATCAAATAACAGTATTATATAATATTATCTAAAATATTTTGCACGATTACAAGTTTCTACATTAGGGTTAGGTATGGCGTGTGATACAAATACAGTGAGTTAATCATAATGCTCATTAAATTTAATTATTTTTTAAAATATTTATTTAATTAATCGAAACTTTATTTTTTTTTTTAAGAGGGATTGCTCACAATCTAAAATCAATAAGTAATACAAATTATTGATATAAATCCTAGAGATTTTTTCAGGAGACATTTTTTTTATAAGAGATATTTCTATAAGATATTTTTTTATCGGAAATATTTCTTACTGAAGATATATTGTTGGAGATATTTTGACCAGGAACCGTGACACTATTGTAGATAGGATGTTAGGAAGGTGGGATATATAAAACTATTAAATTTAAATCTATAAAGAACAATAAACTATTGTTATTGAAATATGATTTTGAGCAATCAGGCATTTCTGTTTGACCTAAAAATTTGATTTACTTATTACCTATCAAATAAAAAAAAATTGAATATCTGTTCATATGTGAACCCTACCAAAATATTTTGAAAATTAACTATCACTAGAAAAGTCTAATATAAGTATTCTTTTAATATTTCAGCTCTCTATAATTATTTTTAAGAAATTTACAACAAAAAACAAAATAGAAAATAAAGACAATTTTGTGGTTATATATTTGTTTGTTTTTCTTATAATTTTGTGTGGTTTTCCCCAATGAAAACCCTCAAAAAAAAAAAAGTGACCTCTCTAAACCACCATCTAGATTCAATATGGAACTAAAAAGGCCTTTTGTCATTTTATGATTGGAACAAGATTACTGGTGAAAAAATAGTTATACACACACACACTAAAGTAATAATAATACAAAAAAAACAGTAAAACTAATAAATTTATTTATGTCATGCCAAATAATTTCTTTTTGTACACAGCAGGTAACTTTTCTACAAATGTACATGGATTGACTTCAACAGCAACCAATTCATCTCGATTTAAAAAGTCAAAAAACACCAAATGCTATAAACATACAAATTTACAAGTTTATAATTATAAATTATAATAATATTAAAATATATAAAATTCAGTCTTCTCAGAACCACTCATTATTTAGCTAAGTATTAACTTTTTCCAAAATTTGTTTTTTAGGACATTTAAGGTTACCTAACCTAACCCCTACTACCTACTGTTAATTTTTAAATGACAAACAATATTGAAAATTCCATAAATAGATGAGGATATTAGTCTAAATGAATTTTGAGGTTGCAATTTGTGATTTCAGTCATCTTGTTGATGAGGTATCCCACTTTCAGGTTTTTAAGGGGGAGGTTAGGTCAAGTAGGGTCATTAGGTAGCAGGTCATTATAATAGTATATCGTCTGTTTCTCCTTACCTAAACTTAAAAGCGTAATGTCCCGTTAACTGATGGAAATTAATAATGACAACATTTATTTGAATTCCATCTATGTATGGAACTTTTAGAATAGGTTGCTATTAAAAATCAAAATTAGTTAGTGGTATCACCTCTTAAAATTAGAGTGTCAAAAAAAAAAAAAACAACCATAAAGTAATATTTTAGAGCTACTTATTTCTGAAATGTTCAAAAAATTAATTCTGAAAAAAGGTTTATATTTTCTGAGATAATGAGATAATTACATGTCTTATGTTGATCACCCTGTATAACATTCCATATATTATAATATACTCACTTCATAATTTTGAATAGTCTTAATAGAATATTTTATGCATTTAGATTTTATTTTTTTTATTTTTGTCTCCGGATCTTCTATATTCTATAATCACAATTATAATTAATGAATTAAATAATTAGATTAAGAGCTATTTATAATAATTACATTGTCCTGTGTTAACACACAAATAGTGTTATCATCGGAAAAAATGATAGAATCATTTCTTGAAGCATCAAATGTAATACAATTAATTGGAAATGACCTATTAATTAATTCATTAGGTGGATCAAGTAATAAATTTTCTGACAATTCAGTATATTCTCGTTTATTTAAACTATACTCTACAACCTGGAAAAAAACTAATTAAAATATTGCATTTTTTTTTTATATAAATTATACATTGATTCACTCAACTAGAAACACTCTTATTAGATGATTATAGGAAAGTACTAACATTTTCGGAATTATTTTTTGAAAACTTAAGAAACAATTAGCTCTAAAATGTTACATTACTCTTGTTTCTGTCACCCTTTTTTTTTAGTTTTGAACCTTCTTTTGTTTTTCAATATAGGTTGCCATTTGAAAATCAAAAGTAAGGGGGTTAGGTTAGGGTATGTGTTCAACATATTAAAGTTAGGGTGACAAAAACAAGAGTAATGTAACATTTTAGAATTACTTGTTTTTTAAGTTTAAAAAAAAAAAATTCTGAAAAAGTCAATACTTTTCAAGATAATGAATGTTACCAGTTGAGTGAATCACCTGTATACTTACTTTTCGATCAGCATAAGCTACCACAAGGTTTTCTGTTGTAGGATGTATCTTCATACTTGTCGGAGAACAATGATATTTTGATAGTGTGCAATAATGCTATAACAAAAAAACAATTAGTCTTTTTGAACGACAACAACAACAATAATATACAGGGCCGGATAGTAAAGGTTAGGTCCAATAAGTTAAAATTGCAAACGTTATTGTATGGGAGGCATGTTATTAAGTTTTAATTGGTGACCCATAAAACTTGTACATAAATCATGAATTATCTGTTCAATTTGACCCATGTCATTTCTTAATATTAATAAATTATTATTATTGTTAAACCAACCCAAGCTTGTATATTATATAGTATAGATTGTGTATAATGGTAATGAGTATTTTTACTTGTCCTTCATTAAAAACAACTATGTTGCTTTGTCTATCTGCTGCAACAACATATTTATTCCATCTAGACACTTCTATTAAATGTATTAAATCTTTGAAATCTATAAAAATTAACTATATCAATATACTATTTCCAGACATAAAAATCAACCTAGCCTAACTTACAAGAACTAGTATCAATGCAATATTTGGTTGACAAATCAAACTCGTGAGACATTTCTAAGCACACTAAAGTATTTTCATGTTGGGTAGCAAACCACAAATATTTGTTATTTGATGAAAATGCTAACTGAGTGGAAACGTCACATTCAACTGGTTGAATATCGGTCTTTTTAATCATGGGTTCACTAGTGGCAGAATCCTGATAAAAAAAAAAAAAATCTAATAAAAACAGTTTTAAGCAATAATTTTCAAAATAAGAATATATTATTATTTTACCATGGTTAAACTAAATATTTTAAGTTTTTCCTCAGTCGAATAAACAACCCATGTGCCATCAGATGAAATTGCTGAACATCGTACATAATCATTTTTTGAATATTTAATCGTTACCAGTTTAGTTAATTTATTTTCATATTTGTGTTTATCACCCAAATACCATACATCTAAATGGCTCAGATGTAATAACAAAATATAACGAGCGTCTGGTGCAAGGGATATAGCTGACTGAAATCACAGTTACAAAATATATATATTTATTATTGAATTTTTCTTTTACTAGTACAGTCAACTCGCAGTATAACGAAGCTTGATAAAATGAAAATCTCGAAATAACAAATAGAACTGTCGTTCACTTGAAAATCACGATATAACAGAAAATTAAATGTGTTTTTATTTCCTCTATATAACGAAGTTTTTTTGGCCAAAGATCTTGCAATGTAATGAAGTTTTACAATTTTGGAGCTTGACATTACGAATTTTACTAGTTTGTTTCGGCTATTATCATGCGATAAGATAAAATTTATGTTGTTGTTTATAAGATACACATCTGCTAAATATAAATTAAGCTTGCTATTACAGAGTTTGTTTTGAATAAAGGAGAATGTTCTAAAGAGCCCTCTGTAACTTCAAATGAAGTAAAATTACGTCTTTGTCCTGTCTCAAATTAAATACAGAGACATGACATTGACAACAATTTTTTGTAGTATTTTAAATCTGAATAACACTGTTGATTGGGTAAGCGCAAGTGGCTACACACACAAAAAAAATAAATATATTTGCACATATAAACAAAAAAATGTTTTTAATTAAATAACAAATAATAACTCATGTACGCATGTATTTAATAAAATTGTAATAATATCTAATATATATGAACCTAATTATAATAATCAAAAACAAATTTTGATTCTTTTAAATCTTGTTAAAACAAATTTCGATATACTGAACTTTTAGCTCGGTCCCTCGAAATTCGTTATATCGAGAGTTGACTGTATTCTATTTTAAATAAAAAAAATTACTAACAGTCATTAATGGAGGATATTTAACCAATTGTTTCGGAGGATAAGTGCTAACAGACAAGTATCCATCAATACCTATAAAATAATAAATATTATTGTTCATTAAAACTTATAAATCTAAGTGTTAAAACTATAGTTAATATTAAAACTTATAAACATAAAATGAATTACCTCCAGAAAATAATTCCCCTTTAAAATGAACTAATGATCGTACTTCTACTCTATGAGCTACTAGTTTTATACTTCTTATCCATTTGCTACTTTCTATATTGTCTGATTTCATTGGTACTAACTCATAACATACTATAACTGGATCAACACCTATAAAACATATTATAAATAATAATGATGTATTTATTAGCTTTTTTTATTAAAGATAGTAAGATATCAATCTTGCATAAGTGTTTTAAACCAGGTAAAATTCAATTTCTTTTCCCGTTTCACATAGGCGTATTGTAGCAATTTATAAATGTATAATAATGAGTTTAACTATTAGATCTATTATACCAGTGGTTCCCAAATTATCTTTGTAAATTTATAAAAAAAAATTTTAGCTTCCCCCTCTCTATAAATAGACTAGGTGAGTTTTTATAGCAAGCTTCGTGCCAAATAAGCTGGTTTGGTACACTACACACTCTGTGGGAGCTCTCTTACTCACCTAGGCGCAGTATAGCTTGGCTAGGTTTGTGGCTATCCCAGAATTGTCATGAAGTTGTGTCCGTACCAACCATTTAAATAGCTTTCAGTATATAGTCTGAGAACACCAAGCTTAAGAGTCATGCACCATGAGATTGGTTTTACAATTTTTTTTAGATTCTGTGTGTATTGGATTCACAATGTTTATTTTTATTATTATTATTATTTTTTTTTTGCAAAAATATCTACAAGAAATTTTGCTCTAATATGTAAATATAGCTCATATCTAATCTAAAAGAAAATATTATCTAGCTGGTACTTTATTGATGTCATTTTTTGATTTTTTAAGTGGTTTTCATAATATTTAGAAAAACTGGGATAAAAATTAAGGAAATTATTTTCAATTTTGTTGTATTCAGTTAAAAATATTCGTAGATACTTGAAATTTGGACAGAACATTTATTTTTATCTTTTCTAGACATGGTGAAATTTGTTAAACATTTGAGTCATGTAAAGGCATGTTATATAAAAATGTTTATTATTAGATCAATGATTCAATTTTTAGAAAAATGGATCAATTCGCCAAAAATATTGAGTCTTATATGTAATTCAAAAAATTGATATTATCGAATGAAAAAAATTTGATCTTTTAATATCTCATTTCAAGATAAATCAAGAAAAATATGACTTAATCATAATTAAGTCATATTATGTACAACACATCAACATAAAGTTAATTTTATTCCTATATGCCACTGTTGTGCAGAGTGCAACTAATTATAATTTAAAGCTACTCTTTACATTTACATAAGTATCAAAAAAATTATAAAATACGTGTCCTATAATAGCTTGAATCTTTTAAATAACATTTTAACTTCTCAAGTTAAGAATATTTGACTTGAATTAGATATTGTATACAGCCCACACATAACAGCTAACAATTGATGATACAATTAAAGAAAATAAGATTGGAGATAACTTAAAGATATACTTTGGTCACACATTATAACCATAGTACTAAATCTGTTCAGATGATTTAGTGATATCCAAATAAGATTAAATTTACTTAAATTTAACATATTCAATCCGTTGAAACCAGATGGAATAATATATATTTAAGGTTTTAGCGTATCTTAGAGCAAAGAAGTGCAAAAAGTTGGGAAGGTAGTAGAGGGGAAATTTAATGAATATCTGAACGAAGCGATAAACCATTGCTAACAAAACAAATGATTCTGAACGGAGTTTGGTTGATAGTGTTGCATTTTTAACAATTTAATATATATATGAATTAAATGTCATATTATGGTAAAATAATATTATATGTATTAAACATTTTCTTTAATAATATTGTACCTGTTTTTCTGGTTTATTATGAAATAGCTGGAAAAATTAAAAAATGAATTCCCTAAAGTACCACCCAAGGTAAATTTCTTTTCAAAAAAATGGATCAAGATTGCTAGGAGAAAAGTTGTGCACAGAAAAAAAAAAAATCTTAATAAATTTTAACTGATACTTATATTTTCCAGTTTTTCACATTTGATGAGAAAATCAAAAAATGACCTCTCCACACTGATTTTCTTTCAATAAAACTGCTACACTTAAAAATCAGAGTAAAATTGTTGGTAGAAAAGTTGTAAACAGGTTAAAAATAGATATATATTGTACAACCAAAACATTTTTTACTCCATTCAGAATCTAAAAAGGATATAACATAACATTTTATGAGCAAAATTACTGCTCAGATTTAAAAATTATAGCATTTTTTCCGAAAGGGAATTTAACTGGGAAGGTACTTAAAGTAAGTAGTTGTTCGGTTTTCCCAAGTTTACTCACCAAATGTGAAAAAAAACTGGGAAAATCGGATTAATATATATTAAACACATATTATCAAAGAAAATATATAACGCCTATTTAATTATTTTACTAAAATATGAGATAAATATTGTTGACAAAGCAACACTATCAACTGAACTCCGCTCAGAATGTTTTTTTTGTTAGCAATGGTTAATTGTTGTGTACAGATTTACATTAAATTTTCTCTCTATATCTTCAGAACTTTTTACCTAAAATAGTGACCCACCCATGTGCGAAATTTATCAGTTTTTTTAAATTTATATTGATTAATAAGTAAAAATAAGATAATATTAATAAGCTAAGGATTTTTTTTTAAAAAATTATACTTATGACTCATTTATATTTTAGATTAATGTAAAAAAAAAATCATGTTTAAGTCAGACTAAAGATTTTCCTAAGTTCAGTTCAGTAAAACGACAGAAAAATATAAAAGTTTTGTTTGACCCAGCACTATTAAAAACCTATGTTTTAGAGCTTAGAGCACTATTAAGATATTTTAAACTACAAAATAAAATATTAAATATGAAATAGAAATAGTTATGTTATACATAGTTTTTAATTTATTTATAACAATTGATAATTATTTAATAATTTTTAATTCCATCCTCAATGTAAATTAAATTTGACTAAGTAAATATTTTGCTGTTTATGTTATTGAAAAAACAATTCTTTAATTATAACTATATACTAACCACTGCAATAAACTTTTGTTTGCGATTCATCTAAGCAAACTATAAGTGCATTTGATTTAAGTGCTTGGTAATTGGCTATATTTGTACCTTTGTTTCCATCCCAAAAACATAATTTACCACTAAAACAAAAACAATAATAAATCAAATAGAATTTTAAAAATAATAATAAAAACTACCGAGAATCTGCACTTATTATTGTAAAATCATTGGTGACTGCTATTGATGAAACTATGGTTTCAGTTTGACCAGTTGGAAGTTTGTGTATGGCATGTCCACTTCTTCGGCTATAAATTCGTAACGCATTTATAGAACCAGTAACCAAATATTCACCAGTTGAATCCCAAGAAATACAAATTATTTTACCTAAAATAATATGAAATTGTTTCGATTTCTATCAAATAAGTAATACATTAAATAGTGCTACCTTCTTGTTTGTCCATTAATCTATCGTAAGTTAAAGAATCTGATGCTATTTCAAATATGTTGATATATCCATCTTGAGTACCGGCCTGTTAATAAATTATAAAATAAAACAGCTGTTAATACAACTATCTAATAAATATAAGTTTATTTATTTTTAATTATAAACTTTAAACTCACTGCTAAACGGCCACTTTCTTTATGAATTGATATACACCAACACGATCCAGAAGTTACAGTTTTATTGTACTTTATTGATTAAAACAAAATTAATTAGTTTGATATAATTTGCAAGGTACTTGTGTGTTATCGTTTCACCAGTATGCCATAATAAAATTATCACAATGCCAAACATACAAATAAATAGTAAGTATTTGATTGAATATTATTTTAGCAAAGATTTTAAAATGATTAATATGATGTAATATGTAAAATAAAACGAAAAGAATATATCACAATTATTATAAATTAGAATAAACTAGAACTCAAAAATATTTTTTAAGATAATATCTAATGCATCTTGTTCTCTACATGAATTTTTCTAAATACAATTCGGGAAGATCTTTTTTTAGTTTCATTGTGCTTTTTAGTTCTCCATTTAGAAGAATGCCACTACCTCTCGATGTTTTGGGTATGTGCTCTTGTGTTCGGATCAATAAAATTATAGGTGTGGTTAATAGTATTATATTGAAATTCTAATTGCTGAACCTTTTTGTTTATTCAATTTGTATTATTTGGCGAGAAAATAACAAACAAGTACCAATTGCAATTGAATGTTTACTACAACTTACTAAAGGTGAAAGATTGTGTAGGTCATGTTCGGTAACAGTACCATTTGAACTGCAGCTGAATAATCTTCCATTATACCATCCAAGTCCTTCGACACTACTGTCACATATTAATGTTCTGTCGACGTGAGGTTTGTTAGATATGTCCCATATTTCGATAGAAGCGTTCGACCTGTGGAGACAAAAACTCGGATATCTGTTTTGGAGAGAAATAAAAACAAAATAATTGGTAGGTACCTTCCAATCGCTAATTTATGTGTTTCACATTCGACGACCATACATTGAATTGAAAGGAGTTCAGGTGAAAAAAAATTCACCTTGTGTACGTCAAAAGATCCCATTTTGTTTTAAAAACTAAATTTTGATATGTTTACATTTTAAGAAGCATGTATACATTAGAAAGTAACATAACCTTACATTTTTGTAACGAGATCGCTATAGATAATGTAATATAGATAATAGATTTATTATCACAATAATTCTAATGAATTTAATATGTTTATTATCTATGGTAGTATGGTTACCTCTGGAATAAATAAATCGTCGAGCAACGTTTGGTCACTTTATCCATCGTAAATAGACTGCATCGGCATCGTACACAGTAAAATTATCTGTGATACCGGTAGGCGAATATGAATACGCATTTCACTTCAACAGATTAGGTGGTATCTTTTTCGTAGGTAGACGGTAGTGTTGTTAATTGAACATTGAAGTCTGTTCGCTCGATTTTCCATATTTATTATTTAAAAATATTTACGCGCAGTACTCAAATTACATTTTAAAATAGGTGTATAAATAAAGTAAAAATCAAAAATAATTTTTCATTCAGTCATGTTTTGCAGAGCTTTCTCAAGAGCTGGTAAGTAGTTATGTTTGTACACATTAGTTATTCAATAACGATAATAATCATAAATGAAAATCTAGTATCCATTCTGATTCGAATAATTTATATTTTGAACTCTTCATTGTTTTATATTATCCTGGCAATTTAAAAAATTATATGAACTGTAAAATACGAAATTACCGTTTTTTCGTGTTTATATTAATTTTAATTATATAAGTAGTACTAAAGTGCCTATTGTTTAAATAATCATTATCATAATTTTAGTCAGTTACATAATTACTTAGTAATAGAAAATAAAAAAAGTAGGTCTTAGGTTAGTACTTTAAAATTACTCTTTAGTTTACTATATACAATTATAAGTAGGTACCAGTATTGATTTCATAGAAGTTAAAACAAATTATAAAATCAATGCTTCTAGGTACCTAGTACTTACTATAGACCTGCAACTCTACAAGGGACAAGCTTGCCCGGTTTAGTTCTCAAAAAGCCTGGCTTGTACTATATTGGATTGGGCCATGGGTCTTAGAAACATAAAAGAGTGTTGAATTGAACTTTTTTTCGTTCGATTTGTAGGGTCAGGCCAGACTTCAAATATTGAACCAAAAATTGGCCTGGGTTTTTTCATAGTCATGGAATATTATTATGGGCCGGGTCGACTTACTTTAAGTACATCTAACTTGACTTAACCTAACCTTATTTTTATAGCAAAGAAGTTTTAGTATAGCTGGTCGTATAATTTATAGGCATCCTTGGCAACATGAATGATCATTTGGTTGTCATTGGCAAGAAAAATATTATTTATATATATATATTTATTCTATTGTATTTGTTACTGTATTTTTATATAACAGACAACATTAGTTAATTATGATAGGGATATCGGTGGAAACGGGAAGTCTCAAGGAAATGTGTTTTAAAAAAATATAAACATGCCTAAACTGAATTTTTAAGGAAGTGAACAAATTACTTATAGAATTTTATGTTTTCCATCTTTCTTTGAATTAATTTAAATGCAAAATTATATAATTAACAAACCTTAAATTTCATATATATTTATTTATTAAGTCACAGGTAATAAAACTATATTTTTGTACTACTAATTTTTCTAATAAAACATTTAATTGAAAATAAAAGTGACCCAGACAACACCAAACAAGACATCTAGTATAATATATAATAGAGTTAATTTTAATACTTATTTATAGATATTATTATCACTAGTACCTATTGACTGATTGTAACATTCTATGTGAAATTAAAATAAGAGAACTATTTGTAACATTTAGATGCACTTTTTAGCGAGTTAAATTATTGAGTTCTAAGTAACAAATAATTTTATCAGAGAAAAATTAATTGAAATGTTTAATTTCTTATTAAAATTTGAATTAAATTCCAATTCCAGTAATAATAATAAATTTTATAGTTCATAGTTACTTGAGTGTATTAAAAACCAAAATACTAAGTATTTAAAAAGTTAAGAAACAAAAATAAACCTAGTGCTTTTTAAAATAGTTATAATAATTGTATCCATTATATTACCTACCTGTGTATTAATTTTTATTTAATAAAGTAAAAAAAACCTATTTATAATTATGATAAATTATTATAATAAATAAACCACGGCATATTATAATTTTATTACCCATTATTTGTAAAATGTATTATCTTTAATCACATAAATCCACCGTCATTAATGGCATGTGTTGATACTTTGGTTTTTATTGATTTATTAATTTAAAGTTTATTTTAGATATTATTATCTATATTTTTTTCCATTTATTTTAAAAAACCGGTAAGTATTAAGGTATGCACACACTACTATGAAAAATAGAACAATAATGGTAACAAAAACATTTGCTCATGGTTTTATAAAGCATAATTTTAACACTATCATACAGTTACCATACCATTTCCACAGAAGTGCATGCATGTCTTTATATCAAGTTTTATTATATGTAAACTTTACTAATATATAGGGATCAGGACTTGTTAACTTTAATAGTAATAAAGTAAAGTATAAATTAATTATAACACAATTGTTTCTGTATAGTGTGTTTTTAAAAAAATGTTTAAGTAGTATATTTATTATTTGTATATAAGCAATAATATATTATTCAAAATACTATTTAGATACATTTAAATTTAAAATTGATATAAATAATAATCTACCAAATATTTAAATTATATTTAGTATTCAATATCAAATTAATACTATTTAGATTTAATAAAATGTTCACAAATTGTATGCACTAATAAATAAATTATAAACTATACATATTTAAATAGGGGAATTGATAAGTTTTTTAATTATTTAACTTTTAGATTTTGAGTTTAGTGAAGAATGTATTAATTTTACAAAGATATATTTTTTTATATTGTATATAAATATTCTATCAGAAATCTTGCTTCGAAGTATCAAGTATACTACATTTTCTGAAAGGGAATTTTCCTGGAGTGATAATTTAGAGGGTTCATATTTTGATTTCTCAGTTGTTTTCATAATAAATAGGAAAAAACATAGGAAAAACTGGAAAATGTACGAAATGTTTTATTTTCAAATCGTAAATATTATGGCCTTTTAAAACATGTTTAACTAAACTTAGGTGAGAATCGTCTTTCGTTAGCAAAGATTAATACGTACAGATGTTCTCCTCTATATCCTATCTTCTCAACTTCTCACTTACAACAGTGGTCTATCCATCTTGCAAAATATGTCTGTCTTTTTTATATTTATATACTCCCATATAGCATTCTATATTCTTATCAAATGCTATGAATAAAATTTTTAGGATTTTCATGTATATTATGTATATCTGCTAATTCCTGTAAATATTCTTAGATAATAATAATTATGTCATCATATTTCACTCCTGATGTACCATACATATGCTCTTAGAATCTAAAATCATATTAATTAGATATCTGAGGAAAAATATAAAAGATTGTCCAGGAATATACTATACATATCCTAGAACATTTTTATTAGTTATTTAAGAAAATAACTGAAATATTGTTGAGAAATATATTGAACAATTCATACAATTCTTAACATAGATATTTATGATGTAAATTATTTTTTGTTATTATTTTTATTTAACATGATTTTACATTATTATAAAGTTATAATTTAGCTAATGAACAAATAATGACAGTTTTCAAGGTTTTATTAATTTTCTCTAACAATACATTTTCATAAATATTGGGAAGCTAAAAACCCGAGTAGAAACTATTAAATTCAAAATTATTGCGTTTTTAAATAATTGCAATTTATTAATTATATGAATATCTTGCAAAATTCGTCAAATGTTGTAAAGGTTTTGTTATTTTGTTTTAACGTTTAATCTATCTATCTATATATTTATTATCTATGATTTAGTTTTATACAGTTTTAATATATATACATATATATATATATATATATATCAATTGTACTTTTAAAATTTACCAAACCTTTAATTTTTATGTTAAAAGTAAAAATGTAATAAATAAAATCATTTTTATTATAATTTGCAACAAATTAATATGAAAAAAAAATATCTGATACTGGGGACCGGTATGCCAATGTTGTAGGTGGGAAGTATGGAAGGTAAGAACATAACATTATTTAATTTATACTTGTACGCGACGATCAAACATTGCTAACGAAAAAAGATTTGCATCGAAGTTCATTTAAACATGTTTAAGGCAGAAATATTTACGAATTTTGTCATAATTTGATTTTAAAACTTATATTTTGTTTTATTAAACCACCTGAAAGCTTTTATTAAACATGTTTGGAGTCCCAATAGAATGGCCCCGGGCCTTAGTCTAAGAATTTTATACTTAGTCGTATGGTATTCAGTATATGAGGCACCTAATGTTTTGAGAATTTTCAAGTAGTTGAATTGCTGCTGAGTTGATGTGTTAATCCAGCCTTATCTCATAATTGCGGGCAAATTTGGTAATCTCGTCCTGTGCAAGAGTGATGTTTTGGCAGCGTTGAATAATTTCAATGTTGGACTTGCTGGCACAACCCCACAATTGTATGACATAAGTCTATATTGGTTTAATTATCATTAATATATGTACAATAAATGTTTGTTTACAAAGTCTAATTTGAAATGTCTTCTAATTAACCAGTACAGTTTGCGCATTTTTTCATTGATTTGTAATTCTTTTTGACAGACATGATGTTTCCAATTCAGGTGGCGGTCAAAGTACATTTTTCTATATTTTTTTTTTCAATTATTATGAAAACCACTTGGAAAATTAAACATTTTTTTTTTAAGAGTTTATATTTTGACAAAAATCGTAAATATTAAGTCCTTTCAAAACATGTATAATCGAACTTCAATCATAATCATTTATCGTTGGTTACAGTTATAAATTAAAGAATTGTATGTTTCCCATCTTCCCAACTACCCAACTTCAACAGTGGCCGCACCCATTCCCAGTATCGGCTCTTTTTTTTTAATTGCATTTTAATGTTGACATTTTGGGTTGAAGGAGAGTAGTGGAGTATCATTTGTGTGGCGGTATGGTCCCCGGTGTGTAAAAATGCACCACTAGTCTCCCCCAACCCAAACTTAAAAGTGGAATATTTTGTCAACTGATTTACGGAAATCAAAAATTTCAACAGTACAATTTATTTGAACTAATATTGAATTTATTTATTCTATTTATAGAATTTTTAATATAGGTTGCCATTGAAAATCAAAAGTAGGTATTGGTTTCACTTCCACATATAAGGGTGACAAAAATAAGAAAAATATAAGATAAAAATATATACTTCACTAAAATGTGAGTACCCTGGTATATGTAAAATTATTTTTTGGATGTACTTATACGGCAGTAGTTCTCAACCAGGGTGACATGGAACAACCGAGAATTTTACACCAGAACAACGGAGACAGGGGGGGAAGGCGACTTATCCCACAGTAATTATTTTGTGGAAGCTGGATCATCACGGAAAAATAACAAGATTTAAATAAATTCAGAAGTCTATAATACAAACATAAAAAAAGGCAAAGGATATTTAATATTTTAAATAAGTAGGTTTAAACATCTTCGAATAATTTGGGTAATCAATGTTTGACAATAGTTTATCGTTTCCTACGAAAAGAAATTGCATTATTTTAGACTATAGTGATGACTGTAAATTTAGTTCTACGTATTACCATTGATCATAAACAGTATTATATTGTAATACATTTAATATAAAATACTAATTAGTATTTATAATCAACGGTATTTCGAATACACTCCTGCTGACTCGACATTTTGCCGCTACCGTTTTGTCTCAGGGCTATTCGCCACTGGTCATTTAACAATAGTTATGTACTTAGAAATTGTTAATGGTAAGTGGGTCAACTTTTTTTTACCAAACAAATGTACTTATTTATGTTAAAAATGTTGGAAGATAGTGTAATCTAAATTGGATGTTCCAACTTAGTTTTTGAGTTATACCATTTTGAAATCTATACATGTGTGTTATGTTAAATAACTCAATATTGCATTTTTTATATTATATTGTTTCTTGTAGTCAAGTGGTGATATGTACCTGTTGTCTATCTAGAGGTGTCAAATCTGTGCCCTTGAAGTTTTTTTTTCACTTTTTTTAAAATAAAAAAATGTCATCAAAAACATTATTTTAGATTTAATTGGTACCCCATATGATAGTAATTATTTCTTGCAAAATTCATTTTTTTTTACCCTGTGACTTGTGGTGGTGTTGCATAGTAAATTGAGGGATATTTTCATTTTAAGCTGTCCAAGCGAGTGAGTTACTAGCGTTACCAACGATGTAGACTATTAAAGATGACTTTTTTTATAATTTTTAAATTTTTAATGCAAAATGTGAATATAGATCATGAACATATAATAGTGGAGAACATAATAAATTTAATTAATTTTATAAAATAAATAGTAGTGACAAATCGCAATAACATGATTGATATACTTTCAGTAGCTAAATTGATTTAAGGTAAGTAGTAAAACAGGAAAGTATATTTTAATACTTATTACATTCATACTTTTTCAAATCACGCAATATTTTTAACAGGTTTTCATAGTGCTATATTGGTATTTTCATTTACAATGAGTTCTCTTGAAATTTTAAGTACTCTTGTCCATTGAAAATCTCTAGTTGGCATTAAAAAATTTTGGCCATCTGTTAACCCTTTCTAAGTTCAAAACTACTGTTAAATGACTGGCAGTGCAGTGTTGCCGGATTAGGATTTTTACTCCTGAATTTGGGAATATTGTTTCTTACTGGAGTAATTCTTAGCCATAAATGTCTGGGTATTTTCTTAGAGTGCCCCCGCAGTCAAAAAATCGTTAGGTCCCTGATGTGTCAATACATCAAATATCTATGTTCAAACAATTTTCTTCATCCCTAGTCTATAAGTATAATTTTTTATAAAGACTAAACTGTTAAGGTAATATTTGTATAATTTATTTATTTTAGATGTGTCGTGACGTCTAGTTATTACTTAAATTAACGGAATGGATTACAATAAAGAATTCAATGATTTGCAAACCTGCATGCAGTTTTTCAATGTTGATGAAGCATCAAAACTAATTTCTAATGAAAACTTTGTTTTGTATAATGCAGCAAAAATAATACAATTACTTGGAAAAGGGTTAACTGAAGACAATTTGAGAAATAAACCATACTACTTCAGATTTTGCGAAGAAACTTTACTTAAAATTGCAAAAACTGAAGCTTGTCAAGATTTACAGATAATTTTTGAATTTTTTGAATTAATTGATAGAAATGATTGTAAATTATCATCATCTGTTTTAGCTGCAGTAACAGTTTTGGAAAACATAGAATGTCCAAGTCGGGTATACTTAGAATATTTGTTATATAGTACTTTTAATCATTTGAATGGAATGGACGAAGCCGATTTAAAAGACATTTTATTAATCATTATAAATCATCTAAAAAGATTAAACAAATATTTTCAAAATGATCCATCATATTTATATTATTTTGCCAGAGTGGCTTTCTTAGTATTACGTGCTAACATTGATCCAAACGAGTATGTAAGTGAATTGTCTAATATTATTTATGATCCGTTTTCTTTACTTGAACTCGATTTTGAAGAAAATGCAGAAGAAAAACTATATCTCGTTTCATTTTTTTTCTTATACTTCAAAACTGAAACACTATGGGGACCGAAAATTTACAATCGGTCATATATTTTGGAAAAATGTTTTAATTTATCATTGTCTGTGTATAAAAATAATGCAATAGGAAAATCATTTACCAAATTAATTATTTTTAAATATAAAGACAATGAAATCCCAATACATATGTTGAGTAAATTACACAAAGAATTTATTGCAGATGCAGAATACAACTCAATTTACAATGAAAATTTGATTGATAGACAGGAATCATTACAAATACTGATGATGTACATAGATAAATTATGCTCTGGTGCTCAATATATATTTTTCAAGTATATATTTTCAAACTCTATAAACTCGCACATTAAAGCAGAATTGATTATAAAAATGAAACAATTATTATTTTCAAAAATAAAATTAAACCTAGGTATTAAATACTTTCAAGGAATACGACTTTTAGAATTAGTAAGATTATGTTGTGATATTCCCCTTGGACAAAAATGTGATATTTTAGAAAACAAAGAATATGTTTTGTCTGCTATAACACTAGTGTATGTATTATATTCATACAATGGAAATGAGTTGAAAATGGGTCAAGAATTTTCAAATGTAGCAAAACAATTAGTGGAGACTGTTCAATGTGCCATTGATTACACATATGAATCTATGGAATTGGAAAATTCACGGTTTGCTAATATGCATTTGAATGAAAAAGTTGAACTGAATATTCCAAAATTGTCAGAAAAGGAAAAGAAGGATTTCATATTACATTGTGATACAACTATTAAATTGGTGCAGTCAAATTTGAACCTTCTCAAAGGGATTATCAAAAACCAATAGTTTTCTACAAAATAAATTTGATTTTAAACATTTTTTAATTAATTTTGGAATTAAAAATATTTTCTTATTACAAAAAGTAAAAATAATATTTGTATGTTTTTTTTTATATTTATAGCCTGGTAATGTACAATAGATCTGTTTAAATAATGCAATTGTTGTTATTATTGTAGCTTTCAACAATATCAGTTATTACTAAAAATGTTGTTACATAATATTTTCTATCTCCTTTTTTTACAAGTAATTTTGAATATCAAGCAGAAATAAAATTCTAGAAAGTATATTTCTTAACAAAATCTTTAATACTATTCAGAAAAATCAAATAATTTAATTAATAGTAGGAACAATAATTTATTATTGTTACTTACAAAACTTAAATATGTGAATAGTATAATTTTTAAAAAAAAATCAAGTGTAATTCTTTGAAAATATTAGTGTTTATAAGTTTAATAATACATTAATTATAATCTTTATACAATTTTTATATACATAAATGTATTTGTTTTGACTGATCTATCAACACATAACTAAAACCACTGGGGTTAGAAACATTAAATCTTGAATATAAGTGACTGACATCCACCAACAATGAATTTTCAAAAATTGTACCTTTATGGGCATTAAATATGGGATAAATGTTTTTAATTTTAAACCAACAATATATATTATGTAAGGATTTTGTTTGGAAACTCCACACATTGGGGGGGAAATTGGAGATAAAAGTTTGTATGACACATTGATTTGAGTCAAAACTGCTAAAATAAGTAAAAAACAAAAAAAAAAAATACTGGATAGTAGTTTCATTTTATAATGTAGAGATTTACTACAATGGGGTTCTCAAAATTTAACCTTTAAGGTTGTCAAAAGAGGTACAATTTTTTGAAGTGAGATTTCTTAGCACCTAAGTATTTTAACCTAGAGCAACCATTCCTGCATCATTAGACTGACAGGATCTAAAATCAATTGTTGTTAAAAATTGGGAGAAGCCGTGGGAAAACATTTTTGTAGTATAATATAGTAAAATTTTGCCTATTATTATTGATAATGTATATTCAATAAAGAAAAACATACTAAAATTAAGTGGAATCAGTTAGTAACTTTTTCAGTGCATAAATATGTGACAACTAATAATAATATGATTGTATTTATTAATAAGTACTTGCCTAAGTATGTAAAATGTACATGCGCTCAATCAGGCGCATCCCTAAGATGAGATGGGCGATCGCTTCCCTCCATAAGCTGTATGATGTTCTTTTTTGTTATACAAAATATCCATAGTTCTTAAGTACAAATAAGTAAAAGTGTATCTGGTTTTAAATACCATAAAGATGATTCCAGATCTTAGAAATACTTTTATTGAAACAAGAATGATACACTTCTCAATTATAAATTTCAGTATTCTTCAAAGGTGGATAGAACCATTGAAAACTAAGTGGAAATAAATTTGCAAAGATATAATATATTTTTAAAATTAAAATTGTAAATAATTGATTAATTTAAATTTTAGATTCTTAGTGTAGCAAAGAATGTATCTATTAAATTTACAATGAGTTTTTTTTTTTTAACGGTGTCAAAAATTTCCACCAAAAATCACGCTTCAATATGTAAGTATAGCACCTTTTTTTGAAAGAAAATATTATCATATTGATTATATCATTGATTTTTCATAATATCAGGAGAACCTAGGATAAAACTTAAGAAAAACGGGAAAATTTAGGAAAATAAAGCTCTTATTATTTTCAATTTTGTTTTTTGTTGTAATTCAGTTAAAAATATTCGTAGAGAATTGGTATTTGGGTAGAAAACTTATAATTGCTTTTTCTTGACATGTTAAAATTGTTGAATAATTTTATTTTTGCGAGTTTTGTACGTAATTTTTATTTGGTTGGTACTCTGTGGTTAAAATTGTTAGACTAAACAGAAATAAATACTTGCGAATTTAACACAAGGTCCATTAAAAGTCGTACTTTATGGTAAAAAAATGTTGAGCTGAGGCTAACTGGCATTTAAATAAAACTTACTTTTAAATATTCATCAAAATGAAAATATTAATATAAAAAATACTTTTGATTAAATCGCTTGCAAAACGCTGCTTAAAATAAAAGTATTTTGGACTTGGTCATCTAACTTTTATTAATTGTTATTATTATTTGTATTATTCATATTAACAACATTTTAATTATTATTTATTTAATGGGGCAAAAATAAATTTAACTTTAAAATTATACTATTTTACTGCATTTGTACAATATATCTGCAGTCTTTTAGGCTAATATAAGTTAAAATGATGACATAAAGGTTTTTAGTTTTTGCTGACTAAAGCGATGGTATTCAAGAATAAAAATTGTTCACTGCCTCCTCCATAAAATTGACCCGAAGACGCCCCTGAGCAATACTATTAACCAAGCTTCGTTCAGAATCGTTTTTTGTTAGCAATGCTTAAATTTAGTGAGATACATTAAATTTCTCTCAATATCCTATCTTCTCAACTTCTTATCTATAACAGTGGTCCACCCATCGTGCGAAGTATATCCGTCTTTTTTTTTTTATCTATCATTAATATTAAATTTAATTATTTCACCCCCTCCCCCTATAGTCAAGAACTGGAGACGTCCCTGCACCTAACTGCACACGGGTAAAGCCAGATAACACAGTGAGTTATAAAATATAGTTTTAAGATGAGTTTTTTTGGGTTTAAAAAAAAAAATCAGAACTTTTTGAAAAATAAACAAACATTTTTTAATTTATTACATAATTTTAACTTTGTAAATATTAATTGTAAACAAAATATTTCACATTATTTTTGGAAAATTAAATAATATATTATTGATTAATTTTTATTGTTTTAAAAAAATTTTTCTTCTGATTCATTATATAAGATTTCAGACAAATACAATGACAACAAAATATTTGTATAAATTATATTTCTAATAATTATTTTTATCTTTAATACTTAGCTTGTAACATAAATTTGTTTTTGAAAAATACATCCTTCAAGAATTTAGTATATAAAACCAATCATATGAATTGCTGTGTAATTAGTAATAAACATATTATAGTTAATAATTTAAACAAATACAAACTGCTGATTCCTTTAGAAATATAAATCTGAAAAGTATTTTGTCTTTTAAAATGATTTGATTTATTTTATTAATAACCAAATTATGTATTTGTTGTGTGAATATACTTATAAAAGTCAAATCACACAGTTATCGATAACTGTGAATATTATTTACTAAATATTGTATTCTTATTAGTAGGTTGTAAAATTTTATTTTTCCAGAGAAAATAAAATAGTATAAATATTATATTCAAAGATAATGTTACAATCGACCCGATGGATTTATGCGAAATTATTATTATTTATACATTTTTTTTTCTGATGCAGGTAATTTCTCCAAAATAAACAATTTGTGTGCATTTGGTTTGAAAATAGTACCGATAAGATTATGTAGTAATAATGACAATGGAAAAATTCCCGAAGAACTAAACAATGGATCTGATAATTATGAGCAAGATATTAAATCAACAATATTGCGATCGTCCCTATCATATGTTCCAAAACACGGATGGTCTAGAGATACTATTGCTGCTGGTATTAACATTTAGCATGGCTATTTTAACAATATATTAAACAATTAGTTTTGTTTAAATTAGGAGCTGATGAGCTTGGTTATCCAGATACTGTACACGGCCTTTTCCAGGATCCTGGGGCCGAATTGGCATTATTTTTTTATTCGTCAAGCAATGATTCTCTATCTCAACTACTTAAAGACGGAACACTTAAGTGTTCCAAAGAAAAGTAACAACTTATATCAATTGCACTGTTTTTAATAATAATTATAATTAGAGCACGGATTTATATTTCCTTAAAAAAGCTAAAATATGATGCTTTTATTCTCTTAAAAATTTGGATATATGATTGTAATATTCTTTAACAAGTTGGCTGCCTTTGCATTTTTGAGAATACCTCGGTAATAGCTTTGTGAGTTAATTTTAATACTCACTTAATCAAGTCAATTACGCTCTGGTTAAAACAACGAGTTTGGTCATAAATGCTTTTGGTTTTATTTAAATAAAAATAGATTTTAATCTTATCATATCGATGTTTACGATATTCTGAATATATTTTGCTTAAAATAGATAGGATTTTGGGTGAGAGTTAAATTTGATGCTTATAGTAAATAAGTGTATGTTCACAATATTTTTGTATTAAATGTACAAAATGTCATAATATACTAAAAGTTAATATTAGAATTGTAACTATTTCAGTTTATATTTAGAATTCCCAAAATTGTGTGCGTTAAAATAATAACAAATGATTATGGGTATTACGTAATTTATAAAACTGATAATTCAGAAAATAAAATATCTCACTATGGTCTGTCCCAGGAGAGAAAGGTCCGCTTCTGCGCATGTTTTCCCCCTCCACATAGCCGATTGTCATTTCTTTCGTCGTCGGTTTATGACTATACTCCGCTAGGATATTTTGTAGAAATTAAATTATTATTATCAGACATCGCGCATCGCACGTTTATTTACCTTTGCTGTTTTATAACCTCTTGATAATTTTTCAAATCGTAAACTATCGTATATACAAGCACCTTCTATAATAATCCAGACTTTGTTTTTTTTGTATACATATTTATTTATTTAATATCTTATTGAACACTGTAGGTATAATTCAGTAGGTATGATACAGTAGGTATAATNATTACAATTTATCATTTTTGTCATATTGGCGATAAACAGTGGACTATCGACAGACAACAGTGCATTATTTGAAACGCAGTGTACAAAACCTGTCGATAGATCCGGGAGGGAATAAATGGATAGTGTTGCGGCGTGGGGATGCGCAGTAGCGCTTCAATTTGGTCGGAGAGCGGACCGTCCTGGGACAAACTATAGTTAGTTATTTGTGGTTTGTGGCATGTCTTTCACTCGTTTAGCGTTTTGATATAATATGCTTTTGTATTTCACAAAATTTAATTTAACACGATTTGTTATAATTGATGAATTTGAAATTGAAAATAGTATTGATTTGAAAAGGATACAAAATTATTTTCGTGGGAAATTTATTTTTTATTAGCCAATTGAATAAAAGAGTAATAATAATATCCATTGACATTGCATTTTACAAATTCTTCCCATATTTTTGAGTAATCACTACCCATTTAACAGTAAAATTCTACTCAGACAGTCAGACTATCTGAAGAGTTAAAGTTTATAACCTATAACGAGTTTAACGACTTAATAAATTATAATTTAAATGATTATATTTTTCTTTATTAGTTATCATTAATCAGTACGACCAGTACCAAAGAGTCCAAACACTAATAGATAATAAATGTAACAATGTAGCATAGTATATGATTATATGAATATCAAAATTCAGAATTTATGAAATGTTTAATAAAATTAAAAAATAATAAAATATTTGTAAAGTGGCAAAGTAATTTATATAATTTATATATCTTTACCGATAAATGACTTACTACTAATATTACCGATTTACATCACTAAAAGCACGTAGTTGTTTAAGTTTATTAATATCTATTATTTATATTAACATTTTTAAATATATTTAGTATTATTATTAATTATTATCATAACGACATAATGACAGTTATCTACTATAAAATACCTACTTTAAACGTATACTGTAGGAATTGATTAAATATACATAGATAGCCCACGCAACGTTAAAAACTGATAATAAGAAATCGAGGTAATGGGAGTCCAGAAATAATAATGTGGGATACTGAAATCAGAGATCGCTAGAGTAGTTTTCGATAGTAACCATGATTATAGTGCTGGCTTGATTTTTTTCAGTGTTTATAACAGTTTTGATTAGCGATACATGATAAAATTCCATTTAACCGATTTAATGGTTTCATCTATACAGACTGTTCTTACTTCTGGAACGACTCTAATTTAGCAACCACGTGATTTTTTTGGGTTTTTTTTTCCAAAATGTGTTTTTTTGCGTGAACATTAAGAATGCAAAAAAAAGTCTGGTGAACTTCGTTTGGAAGTTATGGAAGGAAATTTCATAAAGTACAGGTTTTATTTTTTCGCGTATTTCTTTGTTAAAATTTAACATTCAATTTTTTTTTCCAAAATTTGTATTTTTAGACATTTAATCTATTGGTATAAACAAAACCTATCCGTCATACTTACTTTAAAGTTTTTGTATATAAACCTTAAAAATAGCTTTTTTGGAATTAATCCAAAATGTGGTCAAAAATAGACATTTTTTGTATTATTATTATTATTATTTGTAGTTATTAATATTTAGATAAAAACGTTTTTTTAATGAAGTCAGAATAAGTTTATCTAGCTTAGTTTTAAAGTTACAGACGTTTGAACGCGCCATATTTTGCTGCGCTCACTCGGATAATTTTAATCGAAAATAACCCTCGATTTGTTGTGTAAAACCATGACGGGTAATTAGCAAGGAAAAGTAAAAAGCACATAGGTGAAATTAGAGATCTAATGTGGTCACTCGCTCTCTCGTCATTAGAACGTCACGTTTGAACGCGAATAACTTTAAAACTAAATCAGATAGACTTATTCTGATTTTCTTAAAGAATTTTATTGTCTATATATCAATAACTATAAATAATAATAGAAAAAAAAATTCTATTTTTGACCATATTTTGGATTAATTCCAAAAATGCTATTTTTTAAGGTTTATATACAAAAATTTTAAAGTAAGTATGATGGATATGTTTTGATTTTATTAATGGATTAATCGTCTAAAAACACACATTTTTGGAAAAAAACTCAAAAAATTACGTGGTTGCTAAACTAGAATTATGCCTTACTTCTTTGTATTATTCTGAAATGTTATAATTATAATTTGGTTTATATTCTAATGAAAAATATGTCTCGTGGTAGTAAATGTGTTGTTATGAACTGCTGTAAATCGTTACATTTTCAATGGGAGGTGATGTAACAAATAAATATCGTGAATAAAGAGTAATAGAGATAAAGATAAGATAAGAGTAAATGGAGATATTGAGATTATTCCAAGAATTCACATAGAAAAAAAGTTAATTTTAAAACTTTATCAAATATTTTCTTGTATATTTATAACAATAATTTAACATTATAATCGTTGTATCAATTTCGTCATGCCTTTCAGCCCCCCTCCATCGGAGTTGTTTTTTTTTATTATTATTTTGGCCTCAGTAAAAAAAAATAAAAATAAAATAGTATTAAATAAACTAAATTTTTCTAAAAGTAAAATGTGATGTTTATATATCCATAAGAGAAGACACATTTTTCTACTATTTCTTCCAAATCAAAAAATATTAGTTTTAAATTCAACGTATTTATGTTATTACACTCTGAATGAAAAAAAAAAGTCCAAAATATCAATTTTGTTTTACTTTGATATGCAAATGATTGAAATAACATTATAATTAGGTTTTACGAGGTTTATCAACAATAACATAAAAAGTAAGTACGATAGGTGAACTCTGATTTTACCAAAATGTTAATTATAAAATTACTACCATTTCAAGTCAATTGATTTAAAAGATTAATTAATTAGTAATAATATAATTTACAAACTTAAAACAAACTCACAACTTATAATATAATTAACTAAAAACATAACTTTGCTGTTTTTATCATTTACTCAATCAACGCATAAAAAAGTTCAGAAAATATATTTGTCGGCAATATACAAAAATAATAATAACTTTTGGAATATTGCTGCATGATTGATTCCTACCACTGGAAAAAGTATTAGACGGAATGGCATGTTTAAAAAAAATAATGCCGAAAGATGCAGAAGACCTTTTTACATATTTCGATTCTTACTATTTAAATGGTACCTATAGGCGAGTAGGTTCTACTTCTACCTTGCATTTTCGAAAAATTCAACCTATATTTTTACCTTCTTTGTGGGATGTTCACAGAACCACTTTAGTAGGGGGCCACCGTACGAATGATGTGACGGAAGGGTGGAATAATCGATTTTCAAAATTCTGTGGACATACGCATCCAACTATTTGGAAATTAATTAGAAAAATTAAAATAGAAATTTTCGCAGATGAAGCAAAATTAGCTTTAGACGCTGTAGGGGATTTGAGTAGTAAAACAAAACCAGGGCAAACTGGTATCTTAGAAAAACGTCTACAAAATGTATGTATCCAAATACAAGTGGACAAAATTAGTATACTCGATTTTTTAACAGCTGTTAGTCATAATATTAGAAAGAGGTGTGAATAATAATAATAAAGAGGTGTTTTAATTAATTATATTATAAGTTGTATCTAATTTTAAATTGACTGTACCATTATAGGTATACTATTACATAGTGTATATTATTACTAAATTTGTAAATTGTATTATTGTAATAATTATATAAAGGTACTGTTGTATTTTTTTTTGTTATTTATTAATTTTTTAAATTAATTGATTTTCCTAGTATGGGACTTTTTTTATGCATATCACTGATAAGAACTGTTTATTTATTAGTGAAATAAACGGTTCTTTTTTTCATTGTCTGGTAAATGATAACTAGGTATCAAAAATTCGACCAACAAGTGTATTAACATCATTAACCGTAAACGATATTATGATAAACAGTAAAATAATAATTTTTTCATTTCGTTCATAGATAATATATACATGAATAGGATTTACCATGTATTTAAGTGTGATCGAAGAGCATACTGGTTACCAAAATGGTTATATTTAATTAAGGTGTGGTATCAACCATAGGTGAAAACGAATACGACAAAAACGCAATTTACCGACTACCAGCCGCCTAGCGGTCACCGAAATAACAAATTTGGAAAATAATATTATCCAGAGTCAAATGAATAGGTTCTGATTGATCTGATTGATAAAAAATCAAGGATAAAAATGTTTGTCATATACCAGTATCTGTAACCGCATATAACCATTATGGTAACTAGTAAACTCTTCGCTCACATTATTCCGTGTGTAATAGGCATAAGATGTCCTATCCATGTATATATTATCTATGATCGTGGCGCAACCAGGATTTTTTGAAGCACGTATCACATGTCTACATTAAAAAAAAAAACACACATCTTTTAACACATTTATATTACTTAGACGTGGACGTAGGAGGTGTTGAAACATCCAAAACATCCCCTGGTTGCTCCACTGATCTATGACTTCATTATTAATTGTCATTTATCAAATCGTAGTGGCATTGAAAACTATCGTACCACGTACCTAATAATAAATTATTAGAAAAACAAAAAAACCTATCGCATGTACATAATTTTTTAATTCTTGTAAATATTTCAATTCATACATCTTTAATTAGTTAAATATGCAAAAGTATGATTTTATAAGAATATATTATCTTAACATCAAAATATGCATTTATATGCAAAATCAAATTTTGTATTCAGATTCTTTGTATTGTGAATCGTTGTCATATTTTACTCTTGTGGTTGTGCATACATTCATTAAAAACATGTTTTACATAGAAATTCGCGCTTTAATTATAATATTTTATAGTAATGCAGAGTTGGTGAAATTCCTGGCTAGCACTATACAAACTAGATTGTTAATGCTTCAACCGTATTTGAATCAGTGGCCACAAGCAATTGCTTTGCTGTCCAAACCGTCAAATGCTCCTCATGCCCTCTCCAACCTGATGACACTGGTCAATGACATTTGTTACTATGCTGGTGATAGATCGATAGATGTAAGTAAAATTAAACTATCTATTTAATAACGAACATAGTACTGAAATGGATCCTCAGCTTGGCACTGTAAGAAATTCAAATTACTAGTAGTTTTATCCTCCTAGACTCCTTTCTTTTTGAAACCGATTTCATAGTCGTGGGATGCCCTCAGCTGCTTCACCGACTCCCTGCCCTCTGGGTAAACCAGGATTATGTTATTAATGGCGAGTCGTAGGTAACTTTTAGTCATTGGATTTAGTCGGATTGTTCTGCTAATTCATGTTGTTCGTCTGATAATAAAACAACATATGTCCTATATATGATGTTCATTATGTGATCGCGTGGTCGTCGAGCTCTAGTGCTGACTGTGGGATTTGATGGTCCGGCATTAGTTGTAAGTTGATTTAATGGAATTGGTTATGATCCTGTTTATGAGTTTCCCTATGGTAATAGTAGTAGCTGGGTGGATAAATCAACCCCATGACAGCAGAACTTGACGTAGACGAGTCCTAAGAATCTGGGAGGGATGATCTGGGCACCCCCGGTTGGTCCTGTTGTATCAGATCATCTAACTATATTAAAATTACAAAAAAATGTATATTAAAATGTAGATATGGACAGTTTAAAATATATTAGTATTTATTTTTCAACGCTAATATAAATGCAGACATTATATATTTGTATTATTATTGGTTTTATAATAATGTTTATAATCATTTTTTTTTTTTTTTATACCGTGACAAACATTTCTATCAGAAATCTTGCTTTGATATTTAAGCATAATACTTTTTCTGAAAGGAAATAATGTACAAATATACTTTAAGTAATATATTTTAAGTAATTTACGTATTGTGTTTGATAAATAGAATAAAAAAAATAAAAAATGTTTTTGTTCTCGACGGGATTGTCAAGTATCATAAGGTATATTATTTAGGTCACGCGCAAGACGGCACTTAACCGGCCGTCTTTCGAAATGGAAAGGTCCGGTAAAATTTTAGTTGTTGACGTAATTTTGGTTCAAATAAAACATGAAAATAATAAATTAAATAAACCTGTGATTGAATTACAAGCGAGCAATGCAGAATTACAGAGTGAGTTGTTAAATCTTTAATGAGTAATATTAATAATCCTAATAAAAATAAAAACCAAAAAAATATGGAGATAGACAAAAAATCGGGTCCTAACTCAGGTGTTAATTTAAGCCCAAAAAAAATGACAGAAAATATTGACAAACAAATTCCTAAAATTAATAAACCACCACTAATCACAGCTTTATGGTGTCAAAAATATACAAAAATTGGTTAGTAGACTAATTTGTGAAGAAGTTCGTGGCCGTGATCAGCAACTAAAACCATTGCTAATTTTAATATGAAAATTCTGATTGACGATGAACATCAATTTAAACGTATGTTAAAAGTTTCCGAAGAAAATAAAATTGAGTATCATAGATTTTAATGAAAAAGGGGGAAAAAAAATTGTGTTGTAATTTGTAGGTTACATTTAGAAACTAAATATATGAAATCAAAAGAGATTTAGCAGATATAAGTCACTCTGCAAGAGATATATCGAATATTCAGATAAAAAAGAAATCAAACCCAAAAGATAAAAATAGTGAATGAACAAGGATAAAACTACCCTTGTTTTTTGTAGACTTAGTTCCTTAAGAAAATAATAAAGACATCTTTTATATAAATAGTCTATGTAATGATTAAGTTAAAATAGAGGAAGAAAAGAGTTGTGCCACGGTGTAAAAACTTTTAGGTCTTTGGGCATACTCAAAATTACTGCAATGAAAAGTCTGTTTATGTGAAATGCAACGAAGAGCATAAAACAGAATATTGCTAAAATTCTAGAAAATTAAAAGCTAAATGTGCAAATTGTAGCAAAGCACATATTGCTAATTGGCAGGGTTGCTCTGCATATAAGAGGGCAGAAGAGAGAACACAAAAGGTTTCTGTATTACAACGTATTCAGCAGAAACTAGAGATAACATAGTCAACCACTATTGCACAGATAACCGGATCTTTTGGTTATAACGTAACGACAGCAACAACAGATTAACGAAAATGACTCCACTTTAACAGATATTTTATCTGCCTTAACTAACATTACCACATTATTTAGTGTCACATATAGATTAGATAGGTTAGAAAGTCCCCAATCGTAGTCTAATAACATAAATCAAAATAAAAAGAAATGAACCACACACTACGGATCATAGCATGAAAATCCAATGGCTTAGTCCAGCGCAAACAAGAACTCGATGACTTTTTAACTTTTGCATAGTGAAAATATTGACATTGCTCTTATTTCAGAAATACATTTCATATCGTGGACTGAAAATTTAATAATTATAGCATTTACATCACTCATCAACCAAGCGGTAAAGCACGAAGAGGTACTACTGTAATTATAAAAGAGTCTATAAAGTATCTTAAGTTTGATAAACATTCGGAACTATACATACAAGTCACAAGTATTCATAATACAGCGGGCATAAAGACTTCACAGTTAGGACTATTTATTTTTTACCTCAAGGAGGCGTAGAAGAAATTAAATTTACGACATTTTTAAAGAACTAGGAGACCGGTTCATTGTTGTGGGAGACTATAATGCGAATAACTCTTCTTGAACACCTGTAGATTCCAAAGGCAGTAATCGTGAGATAACTTACCCATTGGAAATTAGTGTATTAGTTCAACAAAAGTGCAAAAAATCAATGGAATCGTATCAGTAAGTTCCTCCGTGATGAGATGATAGAAGTGAAAAAATGAAATATTTAAATTGTATTTAAGTTTATCTGCTACATATAATACTAATTATTCATTGTGGAAAGTCACAAGGTCTATGAAAAGACTTTGTATTCATGTATCTCCTATCGACGAGAATTAGGCACATAGTGAACAGGATAAAGCTAAAATATATGTTCGACACCTTGAGTGTGTTTTCAGCCGAATAATATCGCTTCTGAATTCGATATGATACAATGCTAACCACTGAATGTATTAGGAGAAAAACTAATAATAAACAAATAATTATGTTATTGTAACCACATAAGCCACTAGAGCAAGCTCAATCACACAGACCAATATCGCTTCTACCAAGTCTGTCAAAACTCTTTGAAAAGCTTCTCGTCAGATTAAAATCACTAATAGAAAAGAGACGAGTCGTACTTGATCATCAATTTGAATTCCGGAACAAACATAGACCAAATTCATCGTGTTATAAACGCGATTATCTTGGTTCTAAAAGAAAAAAGTATTGCTGCGGAGTATTTCTAGACGTGGCTCAAGTTTTTGATAAGTTTAGCATAAGAACTACTCATGAAACTATGAGAACAATTACCGCACACCTGATGCACACTTCTTGACTGAATGATAGTTTTGAGTCATGCATGAAGAAACAATAACAAATTGAAAGAATATATTGACTGGAGTACCACAAGGGTAGAGTCCTAGAATCTATATTTTATTTGCTCTACACAGTTGATATCCCTATCAACAACGACTCAATGACCACTTAGATTGTTGACAACATGGCAATTTTAACAACCAGTAAGTATCAGCAGGCTGCAACTGATAACTTATAGACCTCAACAACATTTTTAATTGGACAAGATGTTGGAAAATTCAAATCAATAGTGACAAGTCAGTGGCATGTAAATTTTATTTTGCGCAAAACTGAGAATATTGTAAGTGTCAGTGGATCACACAATGATCCCACAAAAAGATTCAGCTAAATACTTGGGTATGCACTTTGACCACTATCTGAACTGGAAACATCATGCCCATTAAAAAGAATTAATCAAGGAAAAAATGCGGAAACTGTATTTGTTAATTGGAAGATATTTCAAACTAGACTTTGTAGAAAAATGTTTATTATACTTAATGATAATTAAACCAATTTGGACTTATGTATAACAATTGTAGGGTTGTGCCAGCAAGTCCAACATTGAAATTATTTAACGCTGCCAAAACATCACTCTCCGTACCATTGTTGCAGCTTACCGGTATGACAACATTATCTACCGTGATAAAATGATCACCTCTCTCCAGGACGAGATTACCAAGTTTACCCACAAACATGAGATAAGGCTGAATTAACACATCAACTCATTAGCAATTCAACTACTTGACAATTTTCAAAATATTGGTGTCTCATACACCAAAGACCTAGCATACCAATACGACTTAGCATACAATTCTTAGACTAAGGCCGAGCCACTCCATTGGAAGTGGAACTCCACATGTGTATTTTTATTTTTTTTATATTTTTGTACATTTATACACCTTTTTTAATGTATTATTGAAAATCTTTGATTGTTGTAATGAATGCTTTAGGATTACGTTAGGTTTTTTAAAATAAAAAACTTTACAGACTTGAAATTTGAACACAAAACTTATATTTGCCTTTTTTTTGATGTGAACAAATACCTTAAATAAGATTGTGCATACTTTATATTTTCAAATAGGAACCTCCCCCCATTTTGAACACACATTTGAATAAAGTATATTTCTGTAGACATTTTTATATGCATAAGATTAATATCAGATTTACCATTTATGAGTTATAACAGTCTAAACCTTTGAGATAATTGCTGGTTCATGATAAAAAAATTACCCTGTATTGCTGATTTAAGAATGATGGTGAAGTTAGAATTGAGCAGACTGACTTAGTTTCGTTTATGTGGTCACATGTTGTTTGGGGTTATATAGTACTCCACTACTCTCCCCCTACATAAAAGTAGAATATTTTTGTCAACATGTTGACGAAATTAAAATTTCTAACACTAACATTTATTTTAACTAATATTTTATATATTTATAAAACTAAAGCTTCTTATTCGAAAAATCTAAGTTTGTATCGCTATATGATATTCCTTAAATGTTGTGAAAATTCTAACAATTCGAAAATATGAGGTTTAACTTTACTTAAAAATCCAAAAATCAGAATTTGAATAAATACAAAATTTAACCATAAAAATGTAGTAAGCATACCAAATGAATCACTTTGTATTCCTTGTTATCATTTATCTTCCAAACGCTAAAAAAAGAAAAACATATAGTCAACAACTAAGTATACATTTTTATTTAATGTTTAGTCTTGTATTGTTTTATTTGTTTTTCTTGCTTTCTGTTTGGTCAATTATGTAATTTATTTCTTTTTTGTTTTATAGACTCGATGGTACACAAGGCGAATAGGCTTGGCCACTATATATAAATCCAGTGAACTACATTTATTACAAGACAGTTCACAAGGATATGAAGACACATGGAATTTCACCAGGAGGGCAGTTGAAGAATGTGTTAAGTTGGATACAATGCTTGAAAGCAATGCTCAGCTTGCCAAAGATGTAGTTACTGCTTCAGTGTCAACAGTAAGTTATATAAAATGTTTTTGTATACAAATAAAAATGTTACATTAGTTATTATTATTCTTATTTTATTATTTTATATTTTTAGGCCAAAAATATTTTAGGATTTTCATGGAACAGGTAACAGCTTTTCTTACAAGTGTATATCAAGTTAATTTTCAGTGGTCAACTAGTTGTTATTTGCTTTTTATTGTTGTATCCTCTTTTAATGCTGTAAAAATAGAAATAAACAATTAAAAAAAATAAATACAAATTTGAGTTGTATTCATTTATCCTGTGTCCAAAAACTATGATTCTTGTACTGGTTAAAGTAAGGAAGATAAAGAGGGTAGAACCCCCTTCTTATTTAAAATAATATTATCCACCTATTTTAGTCATCAAGTTTATAGTACGTTTAAGTTGTCAATGAAGTTTTTTGATGTAATTACATATCATCTATTTAAAATATTATTGAATTTACAGGACTTCAAAAAATACAATTCTGAAAATTGTATTAAAATAAATAGAAATAGACAAGTAGTTAATAATACAATAAATGTATTGATAATATTGGTAAATATGTAGTGTGGACATTATAAGTGGATATTTGGTCACATCCGTGGGGGGTTTTAACATTTTTGTCTTATTCATTAGCGTAAACAGATATTTTTATACACATCAACCTATTAACTAGTGGCTACTTAGTATTCCTACTTTATTCAAGTAAAGGTACCAAGCATATATAGGTAATAGGAACATGAAAAAATAAAGTATTAAATAGCTACTCATCTATTTTAATTTTAATTTTATAAACCTATTCCTTTGTGCAAAAGTATTAATAATTGTATCAGTATCAATACATTTAGATAATTATTTTTCAATGTACAAAATTGAGGTGTTGAACCTCTCCTGCTACATAGAAGTTTGAAGCCAAGTTTTTATTCAATGCATGAATGAAAAACTCCTTTCATAAGTGGAGGAATTTATAGGTATTGGTAAAGCAACTTGAAATGATTTATATAAATGTATACTTTTTTGATAAAATCTTTTTCACATCATTTAAAGTTATAAACTCATCATCAGTATACTGCAATATACAATTCTTTGCCACTTCTATTTCTGATTTCAATACTTCCTTAGATACATTTATCAAATCCTGAAAACACACAAAATATAGGTTTACTTTTAATAAAACTAGAAAACTAGAGAGTAAGTAAAAATTAATTTTCAGAAACGGATACAATACTTGATAATGATCTACAAAGAAAAGAATTTCCTTAAAGTTTAGTTGAAAAAATTGATCAACAACTGTAGCCAATTGGAGTCTATCAGTAGAAAACCTTATTTTCCAAATTTATTAAGAATGCATCAATTAATACAGGAAAGAAAGCATTTTTTCTAAAATAATCTTAAATAGTTTCTTTGTTGTCGTTAATATTTTGTTCAGCACTATGGTTGTAGAAGTATTAAAATGTTTAAGATTTTGAGGCTCTCGTCTTTTTCTTTTATATCCTAGTTGAGTAAATATTCACTTAAAATTAAGAATTATAAATAAATATAATATGTATAGTTAAGCCTCACCTTTAAATGGCATTTTTATTGATATTTCATTGTCTTTAGTAAACGTTTCTATTTCACACCAAAGCTTAGAAAAATATTCTGCTCTAGAATTTTTAAAAGTCATCATCACACCTTGAATATTTTAAGATTGCCCTAAGGTTTCAGTTATTTTTTGAAACTTGTTAGCTACAATATCAATATTAATTAATACTTTACACAATAAAAATAAATAAACTATAAATCGTCCAATTTTTAAATTTATTAATATTCCTGAAACAGAGGAATTGGACTTTAAATATGTTTATTCATTAATTATTACTTATTACTAAAGACCGGATTTAATTGCATTTAAAACACACAAACATTGCATACTAAAATTATATAATTGCACCAAAAAATACATAAAAATTGCAAAACAAATTGCATTATAAAAATGCAAGTTATATAAAAAAAAATTGATAAATGTTACTTTTTTAAATTTAAATTGATAATTAGATACATTTCTAAATTATTTTCATTAAAATTAAATCTTCTGATACTTAAAATATGTTTGTACAAAGAAAAACTACGTTCTACGTCTACACTAGTTATTGGTACATATTTAAAACAATTTTATAAAATAGGCGTTATATCTGAATTAATATTCGTTTTATCTGACATGACTTTATAGTAAGATTTTAAAGTTTTATGCTCTTTATTTGTTTGTAGTAAAATTTTATATGCAACGCCTATATGAGCCGCAGCAGCCGGCAACACAGCCGGGAATCACGTTACTCTAATGCAATCCCAAAGGCTGGCGGCAACCAGGGTAGCCAGGTGCTACGCACGGTTTCTGACGCGGCCGCGCTACTATTTGCAGGTATGGTTCCAGCACATCTCCTGGCAGACGAAAGGCGGAGGATCTATGGTGCGAGGCAGGCGCTTTTAATTAGAGCTCGGATCCAAACGAGCAGGACTTATGGTGGCCAATGAGGGCAACATACCAACTGGTGTCGAACTTGTTACTTTTGCGGATAACGTAGCGGTGGTAGGTTCGGCCCACACTGGCGAACTACTAAGACTAATAATAAATCCAGCACTGGACCTAGTTGCGGAGTGGATGAGAAACAATGGCCTTCGCTTGGCCGCGCACAAATCTGAGGCTGTATTATTAACCAAAAAGCGGACAAATTCACTGCTTGAACTGTAGATAAACGGCCATTGTCTTCAGACATTCCATGATGTATCTCGGGGTCAAACTTGACCACCAGCTAACTTTCAAAAGGGTGTGCGCAGTAATTAAATAGTAATTAATTAGTACTTGATTGTTGATACGCTGTTCATCCGATCCAAAAGTCGTAGAGGACCCGGGCTATAACACTAATCACCGGAAGACCGCTCTCACTGTAGAGGAGGTTTTTTACCCAATAACCCGCTTTTTAAAAATTAATCTCTAAAGGAGCACCACAGCTCAAAGCCTGCTTAAGCAGACTACGGCTCAAAGGGAGGCCCTTGCGCTATTGGTCTCTGAGCAAAACTAGAACCCGGTCAACAGTTCCAGCTGGATCTGCAGTAGTGACCGTACTTGTGCGATGGCGTTTTCCCCCACAGCCAGTCTAACCATTGAGAACTATGGCGCCGGCCAAGGTTTCGCATGGATAAAAAAATGAGAGTTTCGAGTGTATAGTTGCTACAACTCGAGAAATGATTCGGATGCCAACAACTGCGTTTCTCGCTGACATTGAGTTATCCGTTAGGTCAACCGATCCACCTCATAATAGGGGGTGACTATAATGTCTGGTCCTAGGAATGGGGCTCGGCTTCGAACGATCAAAGAGGAGATCAACTGACAAATTGGGCTGCAGGTTTGGAGCTTCTCACAGGCAACTCTAGTCAAGTTCCTACCTACCGGAGAGTTAATGTTCCGTCGGTGATAGATGTAACGTTATACCGACTATCAATCTCTGGATGGGAGGTTCTAGAGGACGTCAAGTCAGCCATATAGACTAAGCCCACTTTCTTATCTGCTGCTATATATTAAAAGTTTTTTTCTCTTATCAACGATATCATAACCAAGTTCTTATTAGCGACATTAAAACTACGTTCTTATCTAACCTGTGCCAGGTACTATTTCTAATTCACGGCTGCCCAAATTGTCTATCTCTTCATCGACAAAAATTTTTCCCCCATCCTATGTTACAAAATATTTTTTTTCCTACATATACCACATTATCGATTTATTTAGCCCACGCCCCCTTCGACTAAATTATTTCTCAAGTCAGTGTCAGCTACTTTATCGACAAACATACATTGTTATTATAAACATACTGCTATCACATACATACATCTTTATCATACACGTATGATTATTATTTTATAATTATTACGATATTTTTCGTCTTCGCGCGTTCGCGTTACCCCGCATAAACTCTACACACTGCATATATCTTGTGCGAATATATTGTAATAAATTATTTTTTTTCCAAAAATTATTATTCTTTAATCACGTTAGATTACATTATTAAATAACTTATAAGGTAATTAACAATCGTATTTGAAGCTCCCGATGAAAATAATATAAACTATATTTTTTAATGGATTTTTAAGTATACTATTTATCAGTTATTATAAAAATGTATTGTAATTGAGGATTTTAACAATAAGACATTCTAACCATAAGTCATGTCGGAACGTATCTCTTACACACACGATAAAAGTATACATTTTGTAATGTACACGTTTATATATTGAATATATATTTATGCCAGGTGCTATACCTTAGCCTGGCCGCTCGAAATGTTTACCTGTTCATCGACCGTATATCCCTCATCCAATTCCAAATCCGCCGTAATAATTCGAAAAATCCTTTTCCAATCAACGATATGATTACCAAATTTTTATCTGCGACAATAATTCTACAATTTATCAATACTTTGCAAAGTACTATCCTTTTAAATGGCCGCCCGAAATGTTTCCCAGTCTTGATCTTAAACTATTTAGCAATGTTCTTTTCTCTTTGACTAAATCTGATATTTCTTCGTTTGTCTTCAATTCCGTCCATTTTATTTTCTCCATTTTACGTCAACATCATATTTCAAAAGCTTCTAGAGCGGTTTCCTCTTTTTTGTTTAACGTCCATGTTTCACAACCATATAATGGTGTGCTCCATACGTATGTTTTAATTAAACGTTTTCTCGTTTTTTCAGAAAAAAAAAACGAATCTACATTTATTGATGTTAGTAATTGACCCTTAAGTAGAAATACCTTTTTTGCTTGCCCTATTTTACTTTTAAATTCCTTTTATGACCTTCCTTCATTATCTATTATACTTCCAAATCAAATATATATTACGATATAATAAGTTCTTTTCCAATATCAACCCATATGACAGCAAAATTCATATCGGCGACAATATATCTACAATTTATCAATATTATGCCAGTAGGTATTCTAAAGTGTATCTGTCCGTATCATGAACCTCATTAACGCCACTTAATTTTGCTTTTTTCGATTAAAAATGTTAATTTTATACACGAACTCGTTATTATCTAATCTTTTCCGGGTACTATACACGAAAATGGCCGCTAGAAATTTTTACCTGATATTCGACCCTATAATCACGCCCAACGTCGCGATCGAACTATGAGTCATATCAGAACTTGTCTCTTTCCCCACACACAACTGTAGATATTCTGTTGAAATACGTTATTATCTAATATTTTCCGGGTACTA